CACATCATATAATATTTGCTGTAATTTTCATCCATTGCTATAGAATTTCATTTGCTATTCGCTTAGCATATGTTGTAAACATAATATTACTCTTTATTTATTTGCAACTCTCTCTCTCTCTCTCTCTCTCTCTCTCTCTCTCTCAGACATGAAATCCTTCGTCACTTTTAGAGTCTTTTGAAAAAATTTTTTCTCTCTCTCTCTCTCTCTCTCTCTCTCTCTCAAGTTATTCAATGATTTTGGTGGAAAAGTAAATATAATTTGTTTTTAAAAATGACCGTTAAATTGATTGCAAAGAAAAACTTTAGTATTTTGTCGGATCAATAGATTCTAATAAATGTCTGAAAATATGATTGAAAATGAAATAAATAAATGTAGAAAAATGTATATATATTTCTCTCGTTCCGCAAATGTTATTCAATTCGTATGATATGTTTGCTTAGTTTTGTGCCACTATTTCTCAATTCAAATTGTGTTTCAGAATATATGATAGGAATATATACACAGAATATATCATATAATAATTGATGGTTTGATGGTTTAAGTATGAAATTTGAAACTTTATTCTCTATATCTATACAATATATTCCTTTTCCCATTCAATACATTTATATATATATTATTGCAATTCAAACAAAAATATTTACTAAATTGTGATAAACAGAGAAAGTTGTCATAAATATAATCCCAATTCTCGTTATTTATAGTTTTTTTTTGTGTTTTTGTTTTGAGGCTAAAAAGCGTGAATCGCGTTCAGAATAGCATTGCATCCAAAATGATATGTCAAATGAAAAATAGAGTACAAAAAGTGTAATATTTATATCAAATAGTGTTTTGTCCGACAATTTTGATCCCTTTTCCGAATCGATGTAAGGATTTTGGAAATTTTCGTGTAATACCAGCGCTTTATTTTGATTATTAATATATCACAAAAATGCTATTTCTTCTTAAATTAAAGTCACTTTTCATATATAAATATAAGTTTTGCGATACAATCATAATATGGGTATGTTTTGAGATATTTTTAAATATATTTTAAGATTAATTTGATTTTCGACTTTCATATATTAAATATACAACTCTGAAAATAATGTAAAATCACACAATGCTTATTAACTTAAGTGATAAAAGTTATGCAAATTTTTATTTATATTATATTGAAAACAGTTTTTTGAATGCAATACAAGTCTTTCGAATTGAGATTCGACTCAAATATGAGTCATTAATTTTTTCAAAAGACTCTAAAAGTGACGAAGGATTTCATGTCTGAGAGAGAGAGAGAGAGAGAGAGAGAGAGAGAGAGAGAGAGATGTGAAAAGAATTGCAAATATAATCCCATTTCTTATTGAAATCCGAAACTTTATATAAAAGACACAATTTTTTGGCTTTAATGTCAGACACAATAAACTAATAAATAAAACATGAAATTTCAATCAAACGCCAATATTTTATATATTGAACTGTATTTATATTATAGCTTATGATTACCCGTCCATTGATACACAGTTTATATAGCGGTTAATATCATAAAATATTTGGTCTATTCTTTTAAATGAGTTATGGCTAGTGTTGCCAACTGGTCAACATTAACCTTGATTGGCAAGGTTTGAGGGGTTTGGTCAGTGGTGTAGGCTGACCATAAAATTTAAAAGTAAGGGAAGATTGTATTTATCTGATATAAATAATGTTTAATTAAATTAAAATTTACAAAATATATGCACATAAATTTACAATAAAAATAGCGTTCAAAGAAAAGTCAATTTAAAAATTTTCAACGAATTGGGTTATTGAAGTTGACAACACTAGTTATGGCATGGATTAAGATCCTTATGGATAGTACGGCTTTAAATATATACTCCTTATGAATAAAATCTACAAAACTATTTCGTATATATTTCTTACTTTAGTTAGAGTTTTTTGCACTCGTTTTCAGACTCTAAAAAGGCTTTCAATTTCCACTAAAAGATCGATAATATATAACATAATATAAAATATATATATAAAACAAAAATAAAATTTTCGATTTAAACAAACTATTGATTTGAAAAACATTAAAAGAGTTTGAGTCTGGAGTCCGAGTATTGAATGGTTTTATTATATTTTTTGTCCAAAATAATAGTAATCGAAGATAAAAATGAGATAAATTGATGGCAAGATATGATTGACAAAAATGTTATACATTTTCACTTTACAACTCAAAAGGAAATTACACCGAAAAAAGATATTTTTGTGTTTTTCTATCTCTCTATAAATGATATATTATTAGATGAAAAAATAAACTAATTTAATGTTTAGGTATTAGAAAATCCACTTAAATCTCATACTTTTAGATATATTGAAAAGAGATTATATTTTTTTAGTCCAATAAATTGTAGTTTAAATTAAAATCCACATCTCGTGTGCAATTGCAGTGCAATGTTGTAAACCTAATCTACTACTAAACAAATTGACCAATGTTAATTTTCAAACCCCAATCATAAAATACTGGACACGAATTGCAAAAATAATTGAAAGCTCTATAAAACTTGTGGACAATTATTCAGTGGATGTGAGGCTCAATAAAATCATTGTTTAGAGAAATATACAGTATTTGGCAAATAATTGATTGAATGCATTGAAATCAATATGTTTTTCGTTATACATAATAAGCACAGTGTCTGTACTGTACTGTCTCTTCCGTACAGTATATTGAGATTATTTGCTTGTCTTTTCATACTATCATCAGATTCTGTGACACAAAATTCAAACAATATATTCAATAGACTGTAAGCCCTAAGCATTAAATCCTTTGCCAATTCTGTGGCATTCATTCATTCACTCTCTTCTCTCTATCCATAAACACAATCCAATTGTGAGATTTTCAGTGATTCATACTTTTGATTAAATCTATCGATAAAATTAAAACTAGTTTTTAATGTTATAATGTATTTATTTCAATGAATCGCAACAAAAACTTATCTGACGAGAAAAAACACAAATTAAAGCATTGAATGCCTTATAAAAGAGTAATAAAAATATATGAATAGATAATTTTTTAAAACTCAAATTCACAGCTTATGTCTAAATTTTAGTTAAATATTCTTTGATTAAATCAACGACTCTTGATATGAGATGAAAATGTTTACAAGAAGTACATTAAATAAAAAAGACATGCCCTGAAGGGCTCTCTCTCTCTCTCTCTCTCTCTCTCTCTCTCTCTCGTTATGTAAGTTTATCTTTACTTTCTTTTATCGATAACTACTGTTATTTTTGATAGCCATCCAAAAGCTATTGTTTAAGTTTTAATTGCAAACAAGATTATCAAAAATAATAATATTTCTCCTTGTGTCTCATTTGTCTATTTTTTACTATAATAAGCCTATTATGTGCCAAATGTTGAAATTGTGAGAACAATATAATAATTGAATTGCAATTTATATTCAGTTGGGAGAGAAAGATGGAGAGTGAGAGTGCCTGATGAGAGAGAGAGAGAGAGAGAGAGAGAGAGAGAGAGAATGATGGGCGAGAGTCTAAGTGGTGGTTCGGCAGCTGTGACTGTGCAGTGGATATAACTATTGTTATACACTGTAGTGAACGAACCATTAATTTTTCTATAGGGATGCTGTGGAGCACTAGATATGAGATGAGGTGGTTGTAGATCAGCCATACAGACAGTGAGGGTATGGTTTGCCTGTAATAATGGCTAAAATACAACCAAAAAATTTCGCGTTTATTGTGAATTGATTTTTAGTTAATTTAATATGAAAACGCAAGAAAAATGAACAAAAAATATATTAATAATTATTTCAAAGCACGTCTTCGAAGATGAGTGAGAGAGCAACGGAAAAGTGATGCGAGAGAGAGAGAGAGAGAGAGAGAGAGAATGATGGGAGAGAGTCTAAGTGGTGGTTCGGCAGCTGTGACTGTGCAGTGGATATAACTATTGTTATACACTGTAGTGAACGTACCATTAATTTTTCTATAGGGATGCTGTGAAGCACTAGATATGAGATGAGGTGGTTGTAGATCAGCCATACAGACAGTGAGGGTATGGTTTGCCTGTAATAATGGCTAAAATACAACCAAAAAATTTCGCGTTTATTGTGAATTGATTTTTAGTTAAACTTTTAAGGATTTCTCACATCTCTTTAGGACATGGTTTTAGATATGAGTTAATGTAATAGACTATAAAACAGATACATATTCGGCATTAAAATTGCATTACTTTTGACATAAATTTAGTTTCAGTTATTTTCTCAAATATTATAAATACAAAGAAATTTATTTAGATATTATTTTATTATAAGTCTTTTCAACGTTTATTAACTGATAAAACAAAACGAATTTTATTCGTAACAATGATTTTCAATATATTTGTTATTTTTAATAATAAACTCTTTTTTCATCACAACTACTGTTCTGTTGCTATGATTTATGTCTTTCGATGCGATTCTCACTTTAATTTAGTTTTAGTCATATTCTCTCTCCAGACTCTCTCTCTCTCTCTCTCTCGCATCACTTTTCCTTTGCTCTCTCACTCATCTTCGAAGACGTGCTTTGAAATAATTATTAATATATTTTTTGTTCATTTTTCTTGCGTTTTCATATTAATTCTCTCTCTCTCTCTCTCTCTCTCTCTCGCATCACTTTTCCGTTGCTCTCTCACTCATCTTCGAAGACGTGCTTTGAAATAATTATTAATATATTTTTTGTTCATTTTTCTTGCGTTTTCATATTAAAGAAAATACGAGTGAATACTGAATACAATAATTCAATATTTTATTTTTAATACACGTTTTCTTAATAAATAATAAAAATAAATTCCGGAATTTATTTATCAAAATGGAAAATGAATTTTGACACTAAATTTTTCAATAGATTTTATTCAATATATTCTGTATTGTATTCTATATATAGGAATACTGTATATATTTTCGGTCATTTTATAGAAATATTTGTGTAAATAGTTTTAATAATTCTGCGAAATACTCTTTTGGAGCGTAATATTCACTCAAAACTTGTCACTCTTGAGCATAGGTTTCAATATCCATAACACCGATCGTAATGTGTGTCCACTTTTCGCACGACATATCCCTTAACACATCATCAAATTTAATTAATAACTTTAGGAATAATCAATTAACAACACATTTATATTCAAAACTTATACTTTTTATTATAATCTCATATTTGAAAACACAGAAAACTTTTTATTTTATCGTAAAAATAATGAGAAATGAATAAACATTTGATTGAAATATGAAAAACCAAAATAATTATAATAATTATAACACAAAAAAGACTTATTTAAACTTAAATCGCAACTCGAAGTGAGAGATCAATCAAAACAATTGCATATAAATTACTCTCAAATCGATTACTAAATCGTAAATAAAAATGAATGAAATTTACACGCGTTTTGAACAAAAAATTAAATAGTTTTTTATAAATCATTTTGCTTTCCAATGGATAATTAAATTAGAAAAAATTAACTCTCATTTCATAATATTTAAGTCAAAAGAGTGGGAAAATAGTCTGAAAATAGATGAAAAAATGTTTGAATCGCAAAACAACGTCTAAATAGATGTATGAAAATAAATCAAGTGTTTTATATAAATTGAAACTCAAAATTATTTGAAACATAAAAAAAATTTAATCCGATTTTAATGCAGATTTATATTTAAAATATTTTCGAAACGGAGGGCTATTTTCGTTATTAATAATTATTTGAATGGATTTGCTGTTAGGGTTTGGAACTGCTTTGGGGTTCGCAGACTTGGCCGCAGCCGTCGTCGCACCGGACGTCGATTTACTATCGGCGGGAACGGCACTCGTCTTACTGTCGGCACTCGTCGTGGCGGCCGTCGTCGTTGTCGTTGATGGCAGACTCGTATCACTCGCCACTAACCATTGCTGTACTTGTTTTTGATGATCGGTAGTACTGTTTGCGTTCAACCATTTCTCATGCCATTCGTTAAATTTATGAAATAATCGTTTGGATACTCTTTTGTGAGACTAAAAGTGCAACAAATAATTTATAATTAAGCAAAACATTTCAATTAAATAAAACTTTTGATGAATACCTGTTTGGCTTTAATTATTGAGTTTTTGCGATACATAACAGACTCGCTTTGGACGACAAAAACCAACTTAAACTTCGAGACATCAAATTTACATTCAATATTTTCGACCACTTCTGTCGAGTTTAACGCCTTATCCACAGACTCTTCAGAAGTTTGGTCTACTTTTGTGCCACTCTTTGTCTCTTTATTATCAGAAGCATCTGTTTTTGACTCTTTGTCGCGATTTATTTCCTTCTTTTCGCGCTTAATCTCAGACTCTTTGTCGAAGAGGTCTTCCCTTTCATTCTTTGTTCTCGATTTAAACGATCGTATGTTTCGTCTTAAGAAAAGTGGCTTTTGTGACAAAATGGCTTTCATGTCGTCAGAAATGCTGCCAATTTCTCGCGTATATCTCTCCACATATTCCGACCACTTTTCAATGGTCTCGAGCTCATCGCTGCTCTCGTCAGAGTCCGTGTCCACCATTTCGATAGTGATCTTACCCTCAGTTTTGTAAAAAATGAATTTAAAACAATTCTCGTCGCACAACAAGAGTTCCGCTTTCTTCTGATACGCCGTTTCGGGCGCTAATCGGTGGTGAGATGTCGAGCACTCGCCGCCCGTACCGCTCGTCTTCGTCTCCTCAGTAAACAAATCTGTGCATTGATTGCACGACTCGTCGCACACAATGTGTTGCAACTGTAAGCATACGTCAAATATAATTGAAAGTAACGTTAATATTGGAAAATCGTTGAAAACAATATAAAGTCAATACAGACCTGACGGACAATATTCTGGACAACTTTGTCGAGAGTAAACGCAATGTAGGCGTGAATACCAAACATCTCTCTCAACATGTCTTCAAATTGATTGGCGTCGAGATTGCCGTCGAGTACTTGTTTAACCATATCTATGAAGGCCGGGAAGTAGTCCTCAACTTCCACTTCATCTGCACATAGAAAGAATCCATTTGTAGACAAACAAAACAATCACTCAAAACATGTTTTCAATCACTCACTGTTTGGCTTTAGTCTGAGCGCTAACGCTGTGGACATTTTGCGATCCAATTTCTCTTTGGCCTCCTCTGCGGCCAATATTTCGGCCCTTTCGGACATTTTGGCCAAACGTTCGCATAGAATGTGATGCAAACGGAAAAATAAATACCAATTGTTGTTCACAAAAAACATTGAATACGTTTCGTTAGGGTTTGTATTTAACATAGCGTTAGGTTTTGCGTCGCTATCAGTAATAGTGAGCGGTTCGCCCTTTTCTCCTATTATGACAAAACAATTTTTGAATTAAAATAACACTCAAAACAAATCAGATATTCATTTCATTACAAACCTAATGAATTTTGTGAACTCTTCTTATTGTCCTTTTCATCATTTTTGCTCGAATTTTCATTAGTTTTTGAATTTATATTACAATTATTCTGAATCTTATTCTTTTCGTCGGTTTCATCATCTAATTCATCGTCAGAGAGCTCTCCTCTTTGGGTGGCAAACAGATCCGGTATAAAATGCCTCAACAATTGCTTAATCTTCTGTTTGTCTTCTTTATGAATAGATGTCTGTCTCTTGACGTGATGTATAATCAGATTACATGACTCTTCGATCATTGACTTGTCTTTATAGGAGAAAGTCATGTGAGGTTGAGTGGCGTCAACGGCGTCGGGATTGGCTTCGCACTGCTCGTGACGCTCTTCAAAGATGGTCTCGATTTCATTTAGTAATGACTTGGATCTCAAGAACTTGATGTCGTTTTGCTTAAAACTGATTCCCTGATGGTCTAGTGATTTGAGATAATACTTCTCATTCTGTTCTCTCCATATCTTATTGAACTGTTTGTGCGCTTCTCTCCACTCCTCCTCTTTCATCATAAGCCGTCGTATAACGAGAGGGACGGCAACCGACGGGTTCTTCTTAAGCCCTTCGATGATCTCTTGAGCCTTATCTCCATAAATGCGTTTAATTGCCTTCTGATGGATGACAGCCGAAGTGCCGCCCAAAGTGTCATCCAATTTGAATCGAAGCCTGTCTTCGTTAGTCATTCGTGACATCTTCTTCTGCACCGCTTCTAACACTCTAATCGTCGACAGATTGGTCTCTAAGACAACGTCCAGTTCGTAGCGCTCGTCTTCGCACCGATATATGTATTCTTCGTATTGGGTTTTGCGCGACGAGACAAACGTCGAGTCCTCAGACCACGACGGGAACGACACCCATATGTCGTTCAGTACTTCGCGACACAATGGCGTCCGACCCGTGCACTCGGGCTTCACATAATTGCGAGGCAGCGCTCGATATGAGGCGCCGTAACGTTTGCAGGAACTGTAGTCAATCTCCATTCCCATCTCAGAGCTCATACGTTCCCGTTCTCGCTCTCGGATTGAGGCCACGCGATGGGACAGACCTTAAGTCATACATACATTTCGGTTAAACATAAATACACTTCTAATAACAATACATACCCTCTAACGGAAGGGCCGAGTGGTTTGAATTCAACTGTTCCCGCGAATGGAGTGCCGATATAGAAGCCGAAGCGCCCTCTTTGTAGCCCAAGAAGTCTTTGAACCACTTGAGGAGTTCGGGAAACTTTCCCAAGAATGGTGTGACGAGATGTACGAGTTCTGGTCGCGACAGTATCTCATGGTTATAGAGGACGAGACAGCGGAGAAAGTTGTCGTAAACCTCTTGACTTCGCAACGATTTTCTCACCTAAACATTTACAATAATCATATCATTAGCACTAAAGCGCAAAACATAAGCCTATTTTTGAGGGCAAACCTTATCAAAGAATGCAAACTCGTTAAGTGACCCGTATTTTCCCGCTTCAGCCAGAGTTACGTCACGAAGAGATGTCATTTTCTGGCGCTGTATTCGTACAAACATTAAATCAATTTTATATCACATTTTCATTTCTTATACATGTATTCAAATCACATAAATGGCAGAAATATTGAGATAATGTTTAATACCTTAACAGATGAGTGATGTGTTAGTGAGTCGTGTTGTGAGCGTTTCAATTGAATTCGAGGCTGAAATGGTTGAGCGCTAACTAGTGGTCGGCCGACGGTTGGCTTCTTAACAATAGTTGAGTGATCGTTAACTGTCGGGTGAGGAGTAATGCTGTCCACCTGATGGGCCAACGGGTGGCCGAACGTTACCGGCATCACACCTGTTAGGGCCAGCGACGCACCGCTCGACGGGATATTGGATCCGTTAGCGTCCGGAAGGAATTGACTAAACTCTTGGAGTTGTCCACCTGATGGGCCAACGGGTGGCCGAACGTTACCGGCATCACACCTGTTAGGGCCAGCGACGCACCGCTCGACGGGATATTGGATCCGTTAGCGTCCGGAAGGAATTGACTAAACTCTTGGAGCAAATCTTCTTGATTTTGAAACAGTTTCGCCACTTGAGTGAACACTTCTGTTTCGGTCAACATTTTCTGGCCCTGAACTGCAGTTCCTATCATTACAACAAAAAAGAAATTAATTTTGCAAATCATAATACAATGAATGGCATCGAAGAAATCACACCTTCTTTGATAGATCGCTGTTCCTTCTGATATGTGTGAAGAATTTCGAGGAACTGCTTATAGATTTCGGGCTGCATTTGGAACCGATTCTTAATCTTATTCACGTAATTAATGGCGTGATTAAATTCCACGGGTTGGGCCGCGTTGTTGGCCGACGCGGCGGCCGCAGCAGCCGATGTGGCCGAACCGTTGGCAACGGTAGCGCTGTTAGTGGCGGCGGAGACCGCGTTAACGGCCGACGGCTGAGGGGTCGGGTGCGCCACATCGTGATGAGTAGCGCCGCCGGCGCGCGACTGATTGGCGGCCGCCGTGAGGGCGACGTTGATGGCCGCGTGATGGGCCTGAGCCGCGTTAAAACTCGTCGTTTGGGTCACTTTCGGCAATATGACCGACACCTGGTGTTGGGGGACACCCGTCAGCACCGGAGTGGCCGTCAACGGACCGCCAGACATGATGATAGTGTTGGGCTGATTAGGCATCGATACGTTCACCTAAAATGGGGCGATAATTTCGGGTTAAACATACTTTTAACCACTATTTGCCGGCAATTAGCGGTCAGTCATGTGGGTTATCCCCCTCCTGCCCCTCTCTCGCACTCTCACATACACTCCCCCTATGCCTCTCTCACTCCCTCCCATCTATTCATAAGTTACGGGTGTATAGCGTATAGTGAATGGCTGTATGTATGGCTTGTATGCAACGATACAGTCTATACGCATAGCGCGCGCATACAGTACTCAAACCAATACTAAAATAAAAAATATAATCTCTATTTTCAAATCAAACCAATGGCTCACAAACACAGACGTAAACATCAATTACTATACATATTATCATTAATATATAGTTTACATTCAAACCAACCATTCATACAATTAAGGCATTAAATATGGCATCACTTCGCACACAGACTGAGACACAAACACTTCGCACAGACATAGAGAGGACACAAACACAGAGAGAGTGCCGGACATTGAAATACCTGATCGTTTGAATGCATCTCAATCTTATATCCCGGCGGCAGAAATGTGTTGAACCCGACGATCAGTTCCGGGTGTCCTTTGAATAGTGTGGACACGCGTTGAATAACGCCCGGAGTGTCAATGGATTGGGACTTAAACTCTTTCATGATGTCCAAGAAGTCGTTGTACACTTGGGGCTGATTGTTGAATTTGAACTTCACCTGATCCAAGTACGACAGCGCGTCCTCCACCTGATCCCAAGACACCTCATTTAGTGGCCATTCATATCCATTCAAAACACGAGACATACCTTTAGCCGCTGGAACTGTTGCTGCTGTTGTTGTTGTTGCTGTTGCTGTGCGGGCGTCAGTGGTGTCATATTGATTGTGGTGGTCGTCGTTTGAACGGCGGGTGTCTTCAGCGTCAGAGTCGGCTGTTGTGGTGTCACGTGAGGGCCGATGGCCTGTGCGGTGGCCAGTGTTGGCTGAAGAGGCTGCGGAGCCGATAGTGTGGACACGTTTAGTATGGTTTGCGTTACGGCCGCCGCCTGTATGGACAGCGCCGGCGACTGTTGTGCGGCCAACGCTGGCGGCGGGTTATGTGCGGCTGTGTTGGCCGGCATTGACATGGGATTGGGGCCACTGTTATGGCCACCACTTGATCCCAACGCAGACATTGTGTGGTTTGTGTTGTGTTTCACTCCACTGTCTCTCACTCTCTGCTATTGCTTTGCTATAACTCTGCGCTCGTATTGTGTGTGGGGTTTGTGTTGTGCAGCGATTGTGCCGTCCATTGCCTCCGCAAACACTACTCACCACAGATCGCAACACATTTCAGTACAACATTCCTAACACTAGTGTTCGCTACACGAGAAGCCCCACAACAACTGCCCAAACATTTGCCCCACGTTTTCACTGTACAGACCCTATGGCTGTGTTGAGTCCGCCATCGCTTCGCCCCCACTTGTCGTCCCTCTGAGCCCTCATTACTGGCGGCCGACCGGCGATCGGAGGCCGCAGACCGCCATTGATTGTCTGGCCGTCGATTGGCGGCCACTTTGTCGGCCAAATGATGTCTTAAAGTGACCGCAACTGTCATTGTGTTTGCGTGAGTTGTGTGTCGACCAGTGGTTCGGCCATAGAAAACGTGTGCCTATTATAAGGATTTTGAAGTTTAAATTTTTTTGAATCAATTTATTGAGACATTCATTGAATTTTTGGCATTTTTTCACTGCTTTTGTCGGACAAGCGGTCAATTGTTTGTGGCATAAGTGTGTGAATCAGTGATTTAAGTCATAATTGGGACCAATTGTGTGATAATTGCTATTAATGGACACATTGCTCGCTTGCGTACCTCACGAGTGGGCTATAAGCTTAAGCTATTGATTGGTATCTTAACGGCCAAAAGGGCAGGTATTTAGTGAATAGATGTGACAGTTATGTATAGGACAGGTATGTATGGGACAGGTATGCAGTGATTACAATAGACCAGATAGACGAAGGGGGCACTACAGTGTTGAACCTAGCTCTATTATTTGGTCTATTAGTATGGTACGACTACACAACCAAATAATAGACCTAGGTTAAATGGCTAAGACACTAAATGGGTTGACAATCTGTTACAACTTAATTGCATTTATTATTACAAATTAATTACAAAATATGACATTAAATAAACTTTTTGCTGTTATTTAGATACAAATGCATTATAAGTTGAGTTCTCGGAAAAGTTGTTGAGATTGTTTGGCATAGTTTTTGAAGGATATGGACAACTGATGAGACAATTGGTGGTGTCTTCAGTCAAGTAGTTTGAAATAATGACAGACAATGTTATTATTGGCAGTGATTGTCTCGACACCATTTCTGGTCACGACTGACCGCTGGAAAAGTATCACATCTCATCGATGTTATAGTTAGTATAGGATTTGATTGAGTTAACACTAATGGTGGCTGAGTTGCTGTGACTGTACCAGCGGTGGCGCATATCGTGTCCATTACCAGAACCGTGGGTTGGCTGCGGCTGTGGACCAGATGTTAGTTGTTTGGGATTGTGTTGTCACTCATTTGATTGCGATAGAGAATACTCGTTGTTGTGCTGATTATGATTCTTATAGATATCTAAGCGTAGGAAACTCTTAAAGCCGTTCCCGGACTATATTCCCGAAGTTTTTGAACTTTTGTTGGGCACCGAAATCACAGTCTTTTCATATGGTGTGAAAAGAGTCCAAATGTAATCACATTTAAGTACAGAACAGTTAAAACATAAACAGTCTTAAGTATGCGGTTATTATAAGTGTATTACTGTTATACTATGTATGAAAACTTTTTAAAAGTATTAAAAACGTGTGAATACAATATGAATAATAAATGTAGATTAGCTTCAATTGACGCTAACATTAAAGTTTAATGATTAAACAATTGAAACAAAATTTAAAACTTATGATAATATGTGAAGAAACAATAAATAAACTAGCAACAATAAAATGTCATTAGTTTTTACAACAATAATTGTATGCGTGAAGTGATCGGTCGTTTCGATGGCAGTGACCGGTGTTTCGCCGTTCAGATCAGTCACATCCGTATCAATGATAACGAAGCCATAAGTTGGCAATTGTTGTCCCAATTGATGGATCCATTGGGAAGAGAGCACAGAATAGGCGTGCTTTTGGTCTCATATGCATTATAAGTGTTGGCCACAAAGCGATCAATTAATTGTCATATTAAACATTGGCTTCAAAAGTGTTGCAAAAACTTTTCAAAACTTCAATTCAATGGTAAGCGGTGTCTGCGGTATGTAATGACCGCCAGATGTCTCCCCCTATGGCTCACACAATGCAACACAACATTAAAGGCTATAACAAAACATTGAATGAATTTTTGGACTCAAATGAATGAATCGATCGTTTGATTGAATTCGCAATTGTCTGAAGACATGGTTTTCAACACACAATTTAACCATTGATTTGATGTGACATTCAATGCAATCCACGCTTTGATTGAGTCATTCATTCATTTCATTATTACATATAAACTGACATTTGATTTGAATGTGAGTTAACTCTTCACTCAATTGACAACAAAAACAAAACAATTGTCACAAAAAGATGTCATTTTGTTCACCCATTCATTGATCTAATGGTTTGATCGCATGTTTTGCAGATATTATTGGCCCAAAAAAGTGGACACAATGTCGACAACGAAGAGGTCGTCGTCAACCGATTCGAGTAATTCGAGTTCAAGTAATCCGTCGACACATTCATCGAGTGTACCGCCGAAGAAGCGGCAGAGAGTGGTCGCCGAACAGCCGAGACTTGTGGTTGCGTCCGGCGAAGAGCTTGACATTGGCGTAAGACTTGTGACACACCTGTCGTGGTGTCAGACAATTGGCAACTTTTGATAACATATGAATGGTTTTGTTTGTCAGGTCTTGAGGTATCAAAACAAACGATTAGCCGAACGATTACAACAGAGACAACGACTGGAAGCGGATCTAAAGTCACGGATTGAACAGTTGGAGAAGAAGCAGACCAGCGATGAAGTGATCACTTATGTTATCAATAGGTATTGGAATCAATTGAACGAAGATTTGAGGGTTTTGTTGCTTCGCTTCGACGCCGAGACCAGCGATGAGACGGAGAATAAGAATGAAAACGAAGAGACGACCAGTTTTTTGAGACAACTTTCCAATTGGGATAAAGAAGAGATGGACGAGAATCTGAAACAACGCGTTCAGGTGTCCACTCGAGCCGTCGCCAAAGTATTGCAAGCGTTTGACCGAATCGTTCAAAGAAATGCCAAAATAATGTTAGCCCTCAAAGGTTTGGTCACTAAAACACGCGAACAATCACTTCATACGGAACTTATTGTTTGTATTTGATGTCTGACAGGCGATGACAGCGACGGACCGCCGCCTGATTTGAACGAATCCGTCAAAAAGGCAAACATTGAACTGACGAATGAGAATAAGAGTCTCAACTGTTTGGTGACTTCTTTGCACGAAAGGCACCACACAATGGGTTTGGAGTTAACGGAAATGAGGGATAAGTTGGAAATGAGTGAACAACAGATCGACGATCTCAAGAACCGAATCGACGAAATCGAGTTCGAACTCAACAGAACTCGAATCAAGGTTTGCTTTTTCTATTCATATTTATTGACAGTATTTTTGTAATGATTGAAACCAATTGAATGATAGGAACAACGACTGGAAGACCATCTCTATGAGGCGCGTGAAAAGTTGCGAGATCTGCAAAATTGCACACAAAACTCGACCACTAATAACGGTGACGACCAGAAGCAGGTGGTGTCGGCCTCGGCTCCCACTGAAGCCGTCAGTAATTCAAAGTTAGAGGATCTCAAGAGAGATCTCGAAGAACAGCGAGATTTGGCCAACACTAGGCTCACAGAACTGGAACTTCTCAACAAAGATCATAAAGTTTGTTGTGACCACTACTCAAGTGTTATTAAATCAAGTTTTATGTTTACTATTTTGTTGCCATTTCTAGGAAACATTAAAATTGGTGGAAAAGTACAAAATGGATTTGCAATGCATTCCGGAGTCAGTAATACTAGAAACGGCTGAATACAAGTGTCTTCAGTCACACTTCTCGGTCTTGTATAACGAATCGATGCAATTGAAGACACAGATAGAGGAGAGCCGAACGCAACTGACAAACGCTAAGAACACACATCTGAGACAAATAGAGCACATGGAGAGCGAAGAGTTGATTATGCAAAAGAGACTCAGGACTGAGTTAATGCAATCGGAGGACTCGTTGTCCCAAATGCGCAAAGAGTACGAAATGTTGCGCTTAGAGTTTGAACAGAATCTGGCGGCCAATGAACAGACGGGTCCCATAAACCGCGAAATGCGGCATTTGATCACAAGTCTTCAGAACCATAACCAACAGCTCAAAGGGGAGAACTCGAGGCTTAAGAAGAAGTTGAAAGATTCGAGTTATGAGATATCGAAACTCAAACACTCTTTGGATTTTAATTTAACCAAAGAAGAGAAGCCGAAGGATAAAGACTCGAATTCTCTGTCGAATACGGATATTAAAACTGAAACAAAACCAGTGGTTGGAAGCGATTCACTGAATGCTGTCGTCAAAGAGGAGCCTATAGTTAAAGAAGAGATAGAAGTGTTGGAAATTAAGAAAGAAAAGGTATATTTGTTTAATTGTTTTTGTTATTAACACAAGACTTGCTTAAAATGACAGATGGACTCAAATGTTTCTAATACTGGTTTACAGTCGACGCCGACCCCATCGACATCGCATCCATCGGGTATTCACCAGAACCCACATCACGCTTCTCACCACAAACACCATCACAGCCAACATGTGGTCAAAAAAGAGCAACAAATAGATTCCGACCAATCGTTGAACGAATCTTTAGGCGACGCAAAGACCGAACGCAAGTCTGAGAGTGATTTGTATCGCGAGAATAGAGAACTCAAGGTTCAGCTGAAGAACGCATTGCAAGCGCAGAGAGAACTGAAGCTATTGTTAGATATGTTTAAATCAGTCGATAAAGAGAAAAGGTGTGAATAAAAGAGAGATTTTTATATATTACACAATACATGAAAAATGGTTTCTATTTTTTAGAGATAAGTCACAACTGATGGCCAACGAGAAGAGGGCGAAGATAGAGATCGAAGAGATGAGACAACAGTTGAAGAGAATACAAGAAACAGAGCGAAGAGATCGGCGAAAACTGGTGGACGAAGACGTTGTCCGCAAACTAAACAAATACGAAGAAATGGTACAACAGATGCAGAAAAGTCTGGCCGCACAGAAACAGGAAGAGGAGGCGCTTCTCAATGAGATGGAAGTGACGGGTCAGGCCTTTGAGGACATGCAGGAGCAGAACCTCCGACTCATTCAACAACTGCGCGAGAAAGACGACGCGAACTTCAAGTTAATGTCCGAACGAATCAAATCCAATCAGATTCACAAACTCTTGAAAGAGGAGAAAGAGCTGCTCACAGAGCAAGTGCTCGCACTTACGGTATTTGAGTCTCATTTACCATATGATTGATATGTATCTCATTATGGTTTCATTGATGCACACATTAGGCTCAGGTCGAGGCGCAGAACCAAGTGGTGAGAAAACTCGAGGATAAGGAAAGACTGCTTCAGAATAATTTATCGACAATTGAGAAGGAGTTGAGTCTTAGACAACAGGCAATGGAAATGCATAAAAGGAAAGCCATTGAAAGCACACAATCGGCGGCCGATCTAAAGCTGCATTTAGAGAAATATTTGGCTCAAGTAAAGGAGGCGCAGAGCACTGTCGCCGAGAAGACGAGCGCGTGGCAGCACGAGTTCTTCAAAACGCAACGCCTCCACGAAGAGGTCCAGCTCTACAAACGCAAGTATGAGAGGGCGAAGAAGTTCGAGTTGGCCACCACTGCCGATGAAGTCCTACAGGTTTGTTACGGCTCTCTCTCTCTCTCTCTCTCTCTCTCATGAACTATAACTGATGCAATTGTTTTGCTCACCCCATAGGAGGAGATCCGTGAGTTAAAGGAGGAGTTGACGTGTCCGTCCTGTAAGACCAAACGCAAGGACGCAGTGCTTAACAAATGCTTTCACGTCTTTTGTTACGATTGTCTCAAAACGCGTTACGAAACGCGTCAACGAAAGTGTCCGAAATGTAACCAAACTTTCGGCGCCAATGACTTTCATCGCCTGTATTTGGCGTAAAACACATTTCGCACGCATTTTATATCTGCATTTAATTACATATTTATTGTTTAATTACAGACTAATTATTAATCTAATAAAAAATTATTACTTTTTTCGACCAATAGTTTGAAAAATCAAATGTAAATCCAATTCAAAGAAACCAAAATCCTGTAAATCACGTAATTATTGGACACATTTTGTGACAAAAAAATGACATTGAAATTGAAAATTATAATTATTTTTACAATTATTTTAAATTTAATAAATAGTTTGAATATAATTTGCATAAAATAGTCAATCGTTTACTTAAAAGCCCAAAAATATGTCACTTTATTGGGAGTAATTAAAAGCATTTAAAGTTCACACAAAACAGTCACACATTGAATGCATGTTCAGACGGTTTATCGCTATTGAAATCAATGCCATATTTAAGCCCTTTTTACAGCTATAGTAATGTTCACCACTTGTATAGCACTGTATATGCAATACAAATGTTAACAAATAGTGAATAATGTATATAAAAAGGGCCGCAAAATACGGGCAGTGTTTTGGCTACACATCTGTCAATACGATTGACTGACTGTTGGATTGAATGGAAAAAATTGTGGAAACATTTGTCAAATCAAACGATAAGTCATCTTAAGGTCACTGAAGAGCAGATAATATACTGAGATATCTATAGTGTTATAAAAGCGCTGATAATAGTGAGTTTAACGTCAGTTTAGCACACTTTGTCAGTGAGTTAGTTAGTCAACAACGGTAATTAACTAGGGTTTTCACAGCGGTTTAATTAACAGTTAGTTTCGCTAGTACTCAAGAGGGTAGTCTGTCTTGATTACCGGTAATTATCTTCGCTCTTAACCGCCATTTTCTCTTGTTGTCCAACCAATCGCTTCCGCCGATTGGCGTATGATTTGGTGTCTCAACCCATGTGTTCACTTACAGGAGCCGCCGGTCAGATCGGCTACAGTTTGATCCCATTGGTGGCCAGCGGTCAGGTGTTTGGGCCGACACAGCCGGTGATACTTCATCTGTTGGACATCGCGCCGATGATCGGTGTCCTCAACGGTGTGGTGATGGAGATCAATGACTGCGCGTATCCGTTGCTGCACTCGATTGTGGCCACCGTTGATGAGGCCGAGGCTTTCAAAGACATTGAGGCGGCGTTTCTGGTCGGGTCGATGCCGAGGCGCGAGGGGATGGAGCGAAAGGACCTGTTGGCCGCCAACGTCAAGGTCTGTCACAACACTATTAAATGCGGTAACCATTTGAAGGTCATTTAGTGACGTGTATTTGTTGTCCAGATCTTCGCGAGTCAGGGCCGAGCGCTGGCCAATCACGCGAACCCCAACGTGAAGGTGTTAGTGGTGGGCAATCCGGCCAACACTAACGCGTTGATCGCATCCAAGTTCGCGGCGCCGAAGATTCCCATCACTAGCTTCACGGCGATGACCCGTTTGGACCAAAACCGCGCCACCAATCAGTTCGCCGCCAAACACGGCGTCGGCGCCAAAGAGGTCTCCCGAGTGATCATTTGGGGCAACCATTCGTCCACTCAGTTCCCAGACGTGAGCAACGCTTTAGTTCGCGGCCAAAGCGTGACATTTGACGGACACGACGACGCCTTCATTCAGCTGATCCAGAAGAGAGGCGCCGCTGTGATCGCCGCCCGAAAGCTCTCGTCGGCTATGTCTGCGGCGAAGGCGGCGGCCGATCACATGCATGACTGGTGGAACGGTATGTCTTACACACACACCCTCTTTGATCCGTACAATACCGGCATTTATAATGACAAACACTTTGTATGATTGTTAGGCACCAGCGAATGGGTGTCGATGGGTGTGATCAGCGACGGCACCAAATATAACGCACCCGAAGGCGTGATCTACAGTTTTCCGGTCACTGTTGACGCGCAGACCAAACAGTGGAAGATTGTGGACAGCGTTCCGCTCGACGACATCGCCAAACAACGACTCAAACTGACCGGCGATGAGTTGGTTGAAGAGAGGACTGAGGCGTTGGCCGCCACTAGTAATGCCTGAATTAATACGGCTTTTAAGACATAATTGTTTGATTCATTTTATCTGAATTACGACTGTTTAGGGAAACAAAAAGTATAATTAAATAATATTTTTGGGCAATAAATATAAAGTAATAATTATTTTTATGATTTTATTTTATCGTAATTTTGTTTTAATGTTTAATTTGATTTATTGGTCTGTTATATGTTTTTTGTTTGTTTTTGTTTAAATGTTAATTATATGTGTATTTGTTTTTGGATTTTATTGTAAAATTCAATCTCAATGTTAACTAAAATTGATGGTCTCTTTAAATTGAATGCAATTAGGGTTTGATTAGTAAACGAAATGTTAGAATGAATTGAATTAAAATTGAAATAAATTATGATTTTAATAAACGATAAATATTTGAATGAAAATGTGTTACTAATGAAAGGCACGGCTTGTTTACAAGTTCTCATCCTAACCACACAATAAGATAATTGTAAATTTAGAATTTATACCTAGATAATCTAGACATAAATACAACTAGTTATAGCAACTAATAAAATATGGTTTTAGTTCAATCGTCTAATATTAGACATAATATGAAAGTTATGAAAATATTTATAACAAAATATAGAAATCAAAGTCAAAGTCATAACCGATAACTGTTATCAGTTTCAGACAAACTGAAGTAATTGCTAATAATAGGCGAGAAAACTTATTAGTAGACATTGTTTTACACATTAGAGATAACAATGTATTATTTGCTTAATATATAAGACAAGAAAAGACATTTTGTCAATAATAATAAACACAAGAATTTAGTGATAAAATTGACAATTCTTGAGAAAAAGTCATTTTTATTTGCATTGAATATCAACTCATTTGCTATAATAGTATAATCCGGGAAAGTCTGCGCGTATGTTATGTCGAGTGGTTTCACGGCGTCTCTCAATATCATTACGATTTATATTTTTATCTAAAAAATAAATTTAAATGTATTTCTTCTCAATTTATTGAAATATAATTGATGTGAAAAATCCTTGATTTTTATATAAAATATAAATGAAATCCAATTAATTAGGAATTGATTGAAAAACATGAGTTTCTATTTGCCAGGAATGGGAAAAACTGACTCCAAATAAAGTTATAAAAACACTCATTAAATGAATGATTCGTTAAATTTTTTGACAATTGAGGAAAATATTGTTACAAAAACCGGACTAATTGTTTGAAAAATAGTTTAATTGTGTGAATGATTTGTACGAAACAAACTATATTTTTTGTTTCAAATAATCCCATAAAAAATATACACAATTATGTGAAGTGAAGGAAAATGATTGAAATTTATATGGTTTTTATGTCAATAAACTTTATAACGTTTTAACGATAGATTTGACGACAAAAAAGACACTTTATTTGTTATTTCAATTATACATTTTACTGTGTATTCAATTGTAAAAAAGTGTTACAATTTTATTGTATTGACTACTTTAGGCTACAATTTTCCTCCAAAATACGAGATTACATTTAGTTTGTATTTTTGTGTTTTATTCATTTAAAATTCAATTCAAATTTAGTGAATGACATGAAAATAAAAAGTGAAATTGAAATTTCGTTTCTGTCATTAGAGGAGAAAAAGCTGTTAATTGTTATTCAGAAATGAGTCTCTCTTTAGAGAAATGTAAACTTGATTTTAAACGTCAAACTTTTTCAAGTACTTAAACAAGAAAAAAGTTTAGCAGAAGTTTTTCAAATAAGTTTAACACACATATACACTGTATATATTGTAAATTGCCATTCATTTCATAGCGAAAAATCATTGCTATAATAGTAATCGGCGATTATATACCCTCGAAGGAGAATTCCTCAATAATAAGTACATTATATTTTTTGTTCAGTGATTAAATTTTTTTGTTGCATACATTCAACATTGAGAAATATTTTTTGATTCAAACACACATATAGTGAACAACTATTTGTGTATGTATTTGTGTTGATATGTGTATTGATTGAAGTTTTGTATGTTCTTTGGTGCTAATTCTGGTGGTGACTACTTGTATGGTATAAACACATGCACTCCCAGAGTGTGTTTGTGAAGCGCTTATTCATTGCAATCAAACGAGAATAACGTTAAGTGAATGGGAAGGCGATCGCAAAACACCCCCAAAAACACAAAATCATTTGTTTGTTATTTCGAAATACATTAATATTATTAATATTTCGGTTCCGATTGAGACAAACCTCTCGAAACCCCCTATTGTTGTGTTCATTGCACTCTATGTCCAGCAAAACCTATTAATTAAATTAGTGTTTGACTTATAATTATGCCATTATTAATAAGTGTAAGTGATATGTAATTATAAAGTATTGAATAACACATATTCACACATTTATTGGTAAATATTTTTAATTATAAATGATATGAACACTGAAATGGACTGTTTCTGGCGTTGAATGTGTTATCACATGTTGGGTCTTATCGTATAGTTTTTGATTAAATGATCAAAAGTTAATTTAATATATATTTTCATTAAAAATCAAGTGAATTGAATACTAAATCAACGCTCAATGATATGAATAACACTTTTCACTTCACTTACACTAAACAAAGTGAGAGAATATTTTATATATTGATGAACATGTTACATGTTAATATTATTATATTTGTATGAATATTAATTTAATTATTAATTATAATCATTATAACATAGTGTGTTTTAATGAACAATTAATATCCATAGATTTGTTTCAACAAAATATCACTTAAAATCTGTTGAATAAATAAATAATATTTATTTTAATAATTATTATAATTATAATATTGTGATGGTATGTATGGCTTAATACTTGAGTCTAATTCAACACAATTGACACAAAAAATATTTTATAAATATATTAAAACTTATACTTTTTTTATTTGTAAAATTTTGGGGAAAAACTTTTTGACACAAATATCAAGTGAATACAAATACACTGAATATACATGTGTTTGAAAATAGTATTATTTTTATCGCGAGATTGTATTAAAAAAGTGCATTTGATTATTAATAAAACATCAAATTGTACTCAAAAGCACTAATTCAATGAATAAAGTGCTGATAAATAATACACTATTAATCGGGAAACAAGTTTTACGGATCTAGAAATATCTTACAAAAAGTGTTTTGCACTTTTAAATTTACTTACCTTGTTATGTACCGATAATTTAAATATTATGGTTTAAAGTTTTTTTTAATACATTTGATAAGAAATAATTGTGCAAAAAACTGATCAATTTATTAATTTATATGATTTGTTACACAAATTGTCATAATTTTCTCAATATTCACGCAGAGATCGGAAGACAGAGAAGATGTCAAAACTTTTAGTCAACCTATTTATGCTTAAAACTCGTCTCGTTGTGAACGCATACACCGTAACGACACTTCCCTTATATTATGTGATACAAAAGCCGTGGCGAACGGTCGCCGCCGCCAACAAAGTCCGCACCAAAAACTATGAGACAATCAATGGGGAAGTGGTGTGGAGTCGATCGCATCCGTTGCCCGACCATACGTTCCTTCAGTACAACTCTTATGCGGAAGTGTTAAAGAATCTAAAGAATAATTATGCCTCGAATCGGCCGATGTTAGGCAAGAGGGATGTTATCCGAGAGACTGTTGAGAAAGATATCAATGGTATGCAATGGACTGATAATTAACCTCATTTATAGATAAACAACAAAATCAAAGTTTAAATATCAATGACTTTTGCATTTAGGAAATGAGATCAAAATCGACGGCAAAGTGTTGCGGAAATTTGTTTTAAGCGATAGTTATAAGTGGTTAACACTGAATGATGTGATCGAAAGAGTGGTATTATAGCGGTTTCCTAATCAGTTTAAACCACAGTTTTTCCCTCTGTTTCACTAGTAAACCCGCCTGTGAGCCGAGCTCACCTGTGATACATCAGATCGCGAGTACTTTTAATTGCGTTGCAATACCACACTATTCTCTACATTAGGTAATAATTTGGTGATTAAAATCTAATCTAAACCATTGATCGGTTCGTTTAGATTAGTTTAAATAGACATTGGATTCGTATACTAAAAAACTTCTGTTTTGTCACACTTTTCAGGAACTCCTGGTCTAATATATGGCATAAACCAAACGGAATCCCAAACTATTATAACAACATTTGATTTATTGCCCAAATTGAAAGGTTTTCTTCACGAAGTGCCGAATTTAAAGTCAATTGTTTACATAAAAAATACTAAAGACCAAACATTGAGTGATAGTTTTCCCGACAATCTTTCGGTCAAATCATTAGAACAGTTAGAAGAGTGCGGAACCAATGACAAGAGGGAACTCGAATATGATTTGCCAAAAGATACCAAAGAAACGGCGGTTATTATGTATACATCGGGAACCACTGGCAATCCGAAGGCCGTTTGTATATCACATAAGTCACTGATGGCGAGTCTTAAAGTACTTCTTAGCAACACTACCGATGATATGTCCGACGGAGTTGATAATCATAGTTATATGTCTTATCTGCCATTGGCTCACATTTTGGGCTTTACTTTTGAAATGTTTCTACTTTTTGGTAAGTTTTGTCTTGTCTTATAAAAAATGATTTAATTTATACAAACATATAAAAAGGTGGCGTCAGAATCGGATACAGTTCGCCATTTACACTGACCGACACATCGCCCGGTCTGGCCAAAGGACAGTTAGGGGACGCCAGACTTCTTCAGCCGACATCGATGACAGCGGTTCCTCTAGTGTTGGATCGCATTTTGAAAGAAATATATGAGAAACTCAACTCCAGATCTCCCATATTAAGTTAACCTAAAGAGACGAGAAGAATAGACTCAGCCTTTTCTAAACATCCCAATTGAGGGATAACCACATATGAGGGCTCGATATCGATATTCAATTTAATTTGTTTGTGTTTTTCGATCGCGTACTCCAACCCAATGGCAGTCCTTTGAGTCCAGCTCTGAAATTTAAAGGAAGCGATTGTTTGCAACTCTTCCAGCGATATGTCTTTAGGCGGAGACAGCATTTCGATGAGTGTGTTAATGGTATTTGCGTCGTAAATCAGTTTAAAGCCAGACATTCGCATAATAACGCCTAAAATAATATAAATAGATATCAATTAATACTGATTTTGAGAGAATAGGAAAAACAATGCAAACCGTAGTCGTATTGGCCGTCCAATGGATTCATATCAAACTCCAATGAAAGCACTTCTTTGGTCGACTGTTCTTCGAGTAAAGGAATTCCTCCGACGCCTGAGATATAGAGGGACTGAACCGAAGAAGTAAACGCCAAACACTGTGACGTCGGTCTGTGAGTGGCGTTTAGGCAAACTTTTAAAAGCGATAATTGACTCAATTTTTCGTCGCCTTCGCTGATCGTAAGGAACAGTTTTCCAATAATAAACTTAATCTTATGTGCGATAAACTCTTTGGGCAACTCTGCGGGAAGATCTTCTTCGTAACCGATCGCTTCGTATAGCCGTTGCTTCTCTTTAGGTGTCATCTCTTTCTTAAAATCGTCGACAATATTGTCTGCAATGAGAAAATTGTTGCAATAATAACGAAACACTCAACCAATTTCGCCATCAATTATACCTTCGACAACATCCTTACTCTTAGAGAACCATCCGGTGAACCATCCCTTCTTCTTATTGTCATCCTTTCGATTCTTCAGTATCTGCTGAGTCTCCACTTCGGCCTGACTTCTGGCCAACACTATTGTGAATAAATTCAAATCCTTCTCAAGCTTTTCGATCTCTACGATCAGCGAATCGTTAGCGTTAGTGGACAACAGTTTTTGTTTATACAGCTCCTGGTATTTCTTCATCTTAAGCCTGTGTTCGTAGATATTAATCCAACACCAATTCTTTGAGCGCCTCTTCACGTCGCTCTCCACAACGGCATTGAAGGCAAAGCGCCACCAATTCTTCGCGTTCCCTAACAGACACACAAATTGTTAAATTATTTAGAAATAAAATTTAAAATCATTATACCTTTGATGGGTAGGTATGGCCTCCACTTGCGATAAGGTTTGCCTAAATTCATGCGATCGATGGCATCCAATAGAAGCAGAAGTGATTCAAACTGGAGTCGAGTCATCCGCAGCTCAAACATATCCAAATCCATTTCAATGTCCAGAACTGGTATACTGTAGTCATCGTCTTCTGGTTTACGATTGATCACTGCATTGGATGTGAAGTTTATTGGATACAAAACGTATTGCAATTCAGGTGTGTTGTGACGGGTGGCGATCCGCTCCTCAAGTTTCACATCAATACTTTTGTCATCCATTTTGGACAAGAAGTTAGCCTTCAAATGGAATGACAATAGTTGTAGATAATTGTCAACTCGATGGTTAATAGGCATACCTTATCCATGTGACAGTTCCAATAGAAGGACAGACCCTCCAGAGTAACCAATTTGTAGAAAATGTTTTCGTTTCCATCATTAGTGGAAGCGTTGTCTTGTGTCTCAAATACGAGTTTATGTAAAGTGAGTCCCACTTGAAAGGGATTCTTAGGCCATGAGATACTGTCCTCATAGCAGATGTGGACGTTTGTGATGAAGACTTGCAAATTCTTTANGTGGAAGCGTTGTCTTGTGTCTCAAATACGAGTTTATGTAAAGTGAGTCCCACTTGAAAGGGATTCTTAGGCCATGAGATACTGTCCTCATAGCAGATGTGGACGTTTGTGATGAAGACTTGCAAATTCTTTATGATTTGTTCCACAAGTTTAGTGCCAAAACTATCGTCAGTCTTCTTCTTAGAGTCGGTGCCTAAGAGAAGAAGACAATCGCTATTAATACCAAAACCAGTAAACAATTAGCAAAACACTAATTACTCGTCTCTTTGGATCTCTGTTTCGCGTCTTCTATTTTCTCCAATTGTTTTTGTTTGTCATTCCATTGGATCAGCTCTTCGTTGATGTCATCATACGTGGCCTCTAAACACACACATCGAGAGACAATCAACAAGTGATTAAAGGGATCACTCGAAAGGGTTTATATTATATATGGTCTCAACCCTTGGCGGTGGTGTATATGTAGTCAGTTAGCCTACTGTTGGCCGCTACTCATGTTGCTAAAGGTGCCCTACAACCGGAGTTACGCCCGCTACACCGGCACTTACTGTGCTTACGGAAGCGATAGGGAGTCGAAGGCGTTTGGTTTGACGGCGATGTTGTCCAACGATATCTGTCCACTCCATGCGAAGAGATTCAGCTGTTTGGCCGTCAACTCGTCCACGAATTGTGACAAATACTTGTTCAATAGGTTCGCCACCAGACTCTCGAACACCATTGTCTCCTTCGGCGGTCAGTATATTGTGTGTATAACAAGTGATAATAAGTGGTAATAATAAACAATGGTTTGTATCAAAGGCTTGAATAGACGCCCAAATGTGATGTCATTTTTGTGGGCATTTATTGTCTCTTCATATTTGCATTAATGCCTGCATTGAAAGTAATATGAGTTTTAACAGCGATTGTAATGTTTTATGACATAATATATTATAGCAATCATTGTTTGCATTGCTTTTTATACCTGTGTTTAATGTTTGCGATTATGTTGTAATGTATTAACGGTTTGTAGACATGTGTTATGACAACAGAGACACACATTGCGTGAACGCATTCAATACAATAACATGTTATGTAATGCAATGCCTATTCAATACACACACTCTCTGTGCGCTTGTGTTGACTCATAGCTGCAAATATTAATACTGTATTTCCAATGCATTGCATTTCAATGCACTTTAAGTTTAATGGTTTAGTTTCCGTCATATTCTGTGTTTAGTTATGATAAGAGAGACAGTCATTGAATTTGATCTAGCTTATTCATTGTGTTTATAATTTGCCACATTCATTAAATAATATTATTTTTAGTTATTTTACCAGCATAATGACACGTAAATAGTTAAATAACGGTTAATTAACAAATAAACATTGATCAATCTTTTATATAGTTTAAATATAAACCCTTATATTAAATGTTATAAACATATCATGACATATTAATTATATATTTTTATAGTAAAATTTATATGCTGTAAAATTAATATATTTATTACACGATATAAACGGAATTTTATAAAAATATTATTAATATTTAATATATAAAAGTAATTATTTATTATGAAAAACATTAAATGTTTTATAATTAATGATAAAAAAGTTATAAAGTTTTATAAACTATAAATTGATTTAAAATATAACGTAAATGTATTTTTGAAATGACTTTTCTTCGGTTTATAAGAAGCTATATAAGAATTGTTAATACTCTTAGCGTTTGTAAAGTATATTAAATGATAATTAACTACTCTTGTACTGAAATTACACATGAATTTTATCCTATAGCGCTTTTGAAACATGGAAAGTTAGTATTCAATATCATTTGATTGAAAAAATATATAATTTAAAATCAGATATCAATTGTTTAATCGAAGAGTTTTAAAAAATATTTGTAAAAATTGTTGATAATTTTTGGCCTAATTTCTTATAAGTTATATATAAATTTGTAAATAAATATCCACTATTAGAAAATATATAATAAATTCTCTATTCATTTAACTATTATTTGTTTATAAAAAAAACTAAACTATTTGATTGAATCAAAAATGTCTTTTATATCATTTTTATAATAAGACATAACGACATTCCTCTTCAGTTTAAAGGCGGCGGTAATGAGATTGTTATCTGGGGTCCACTCCTCAACACATAACTTGATTTTGACGGGTATTTCAATTCGCTTCAAATCATTCAATTGAGCGCTTTCTCGGATACTTTCCAACACTCTATCACATACTGAAGGCTCGGCGCACAACTGTTCCCTACCATAACTGGCCGGTAGTCCCAGTTCTTGGCCTAAACT